ATATATACATATATATATATATATATATATATATATATATATGGAATTGTGTGGATGTGTCTACATAGATATATATATATACATGTGTGTGTGTATATATATATATAAGTCTGTTTTGATAAATTTATACATAGGTTTAGCTATCTATCTCTGTATATATATATGTGTGTGTGTACGTGCGTGTGTCTATAGTTTTGTCTGTATGTTCGATATATATATATATATATATATATATATATATATATTGAAATAAATTGTTTGCATGAAAACATTAAATACTTCTATGCCTCTGTGCTTTTTTTCTCCTCCGTATCTCTTTCACTCACACACACACACACACACACACACACACACATATATATATACATATATATATTTATATATCACTTGATAAGACACAGAGTGTGTTGAAACAAAATGGCTATTTTTTTGTAGTGATTTTATAACATACTTATGTTATAATTTTTTTAAAAAATAATTATATATATATATATATATATATATTTTATAATTATTTCCTCAGGTTACCTTTTACAAGACGAAAAATGAAGAGGTGTATGTACATTCATTCTATTATATATATATATATATATATATATATATATATATATATATATATGTGTGTGTGTGTGTGTGTGTCTGTGTTGTTTAATGTATACCTTTCGACTTTATCGACTTAGCCGTATATTTTTTTTTATCTATCGATATGTTTTCAATCAGTTGAGTATATTTAATTGACAATCGTTAAAAGAACTATACTTTCCTGAAAAAAAGGTGTTTCTTTGTCATTTTGAAGTTTCATGTGTACACATATATACATATATGTGTGTGTGTGTGTTTGTGCTTGACGAGGGTTAATACAAATATAAAATCTATCATTTTGCTGATTGATGTTATATTATCCTTTCACATCGTTGTATATATATATATATATATTTCAATAGTTATTATATAATATAATATATTTACTTACCTACAGCAGTGTTTTCCTTACTGTCAAACTTCAGCTCCAATATATATGTATATCCGTAGATATGTCTGTAAAACGTATATTTATTTTAATTTTTGTTGTTTTTTACAGAATTTTCCTCCAAGAAATAAAACATTTCTTTTAAGAGTTAAAGAATTTTTTTTTTTCTTCGCGGGGTAATGTTTATTTTGATTTCCGTGTCTATCAGCCTTTAAGTTCTTTTTAAAGTAACCTTGTCATCATGTTTTGTCATTTTCTGACTATGGATTCGAATATTTATTGTACTTGAAAAAAAATCAAGACAATAATTCTTTCTTTCTTTTTTTATACAAACGATGAGGGGAAAAAAATCTTTAGTTCCTTTAAGAAATTAAATGAAACCCTCGTTTTATATTTTGCGGCACGCAGTCGTCGCTTTTTAATTCTTTTCTTCGCCGACGTGCGTCGAAATGTTATAAACAATACAATTTGGTCCACGTTTTCTGTAAGCAACACAAAAATATTCCTTCAAAAATTCTTCTTTAAAACAAAAAGATTGATTTGGTCTTTATTAAAAATAACTTTACGTGTATCCAGTTAAACTTCCACAAATTTTCCTCGCAAAAACAAACCAAAAAGTTATTAAAACACGATGATAAACGAATATAAATTTTTTATCATTTTTTTTTCCGTTGTCTTTAAAAATCGAACCAGGAATGAAGTGTAAAGTCCATGAATTTCCGATTCAGTTATTTTCTTTCTTGCAAAAAGATTCCTTTTTTTTTTAAAAAAAAAAATCCGAAAAACTAATTCTCTGACCGAGATTGAAGACGACAAGGAAAATTTCAAACAGACGGTATTAGAAAGACCGCTTCCTTTGCAGTGGAGAAAAGTGGTTAGTCTTCCGAAAAAAAAAAAGGGATGGAGAGATGGTTGTAGAACCGAAAGAGATGAGACTGACATCGACAGAAGCAGCGGCTGCTGTGATGGGTTCACTCGCTAGGGGTTCGTGTCCGCCTGACTGCTGTGTCGATGTGTGTGTAGTGAATTGTCTGAATTTCAATAACTGATTTTTCAAGCAAAGGGAAGTCAGTTTATTAGGCGTTACGACTTCTTTCCCAGTCTGCTTTTACGAGATCAATATGAAGTGTGCATGTCGAGGCACACACACTCACGCGCATGCGTATTGCTGGTCATTAAAAGGGCAACGAGTTCATTAAAATCGCTGTGTTAGAGATTGAATCACTGTGGAGCAATAGATATTTCTGTAGTGAGTTCGAACCTTGTGAAAAGCCACACACTTACGGCCCTGCGCTAGACAAAGTTAAGTTAAGCTTAATATTTTATCCAATGGAACTTCACTGGATCAATGAAAATAATTTTCAATCCGCACCTGACGATTGAATCGAGCATGAAACTGTGAGTTGTGCTATTTGCAAGGAAAAAATGTATATTTATTACTAGACGCTTTATTTTATTTATTAAACAGTGTGAATTAAATTTATCGGCCTGCGCATTCTAGAAATTCTTGCAAAAAAAAAAAATATATATATATATATACACCGGTAGGGATCGAACCTGCATTTTCGCCTTTATTGAGGAAACCATCATTTGATCCAACATGCTATGGCGCTCGAGAACGAAGAACGAAGTACACTAAACAAAGCTCTGTATCCTCCCCCTATTTTTTAAGGAAAGAGCATTTTTTTTCTTTTTTTTTATATTTATTTTCTTTTATTTTTATTATTTTTATTTTTAAAGAAAGACTTTTTTCTTTCTTTATTTTATTTTTTATCTTTAGTTTATTCATATTTATATTATTTTATTTTATTTTTAATATATTTCTTTTTTATATATTTTTAAGCAAAGGTTTTTTTTCATTTATTTATTTTATTTTATTTTTTTATTATTTTATTATATCTTAATTTCTTTAATTTTATTTATTTATTTATTTATTTATTATTTAAGGAAAGGGCTGTTTTATTTTATTATTTTATTTTTAAATTTTATTTTATTTATATTTAATTTTTTTATTTTATTTTATTATATCTTAATTTCATTAATTTTATTTATTTATTTATTATTTAAGGAAAGGGCTGTTTTATTTAATTATTTTATTTTTTAAATTTTATTTTATTTATTTATTTTTTATTTTATTTTATTATATCTTAATTTCTTTTAATTTTATTTTATTATTTATTTATTATTTTTCAGGAAAGGGCTGTTTTATTTAATTATTTTATTTTTTAAATTTTATTTTATTTATATTTTATTTTATTTATCATATTTGTATTTTTTTGTCATATTTGTATTTTTTTAAATTTTATTTATTTCTTTATATTTAAGGAAAGCTCTTTTTTACTTTATTTTATTTTTCATTTTTATTTTATTTATATTTATTTTATTTTATTATATTTTAATTTCTAAAAATTTTATTTATTTTTAAAGAAAGGGCTTTTTTTATCTGTCCCCTCGTTATCCTTAAGGAAATGGCGTCCTCTTCATGTAGATTATTTGTTTTTGAAACTCTCATATATTTTCAGTTTAGTACCCGAATGGAAACAGAACAATTTCAAGAAACACACACGCACCTGGACACACACACACACCCCTGAACACACACACACACAAACTTCTTTACAGTAAGGTTCACTTTCCACAAGGGCCGGAGGCCAATCGAGGTAGAAGGTGGTATAAGGGGCAGTTTATATGGAAGGCTCATGGCGACAAAACTCCTCCTTGGGTCAGAAACACCATACCGGCCAGGTTACTAAGGCAAGCTCGCTTATATACATGATAACTAAAAGACCCATTGGGGGTAATGGGGTGACGAAGGCGGCTCAGGAATGCTTTTGCATCCCCTAATATATATATATATATATATATATATATATATATATATATATATATATATTATATATACGTTTATGTAACTTAAAAGTTTCGTTGTTTACCAACTCATCTGGCACGAAATATGTAATTTATGATTTTAAAAAGAAAAAAGAAAAAAATGAAAAAGTATAAAATAATTTAATTTTAAATCGAAAGTTATATTTCGTGCCTGATGAGTTGGTAAACAACGAAACTTAAGTTGCACCCCAAACGTAGGTATATGTATACTTATTAATGTATATTACTTGGCTCTGTCTAACCGCATCTATACCTATCTATCTATCTATCTATATATATATATATATATATATATATATATATCACACACACACATATAGTGGAACCTGAAGGCCGTTCGTAACCCGAAATGTTCGTAAAACGAAACTATTTTTCCTATAGGAATGAATTCAGAGAAAAAAGTCACAGCACAATAAAATTGGAAAAGAAAACCACGCCATAACACACGAATTTATACAACACGTCGGTCGACTCAGAAATTATTCCATTCTGGGTAACTCGGTTCAGCAATATTGTTCGATAACCGAGACATTTTCATCTCGAATGTTCTGTTCGAAAATCGATTTGTGAGACGTTCTAGAACCAAGGTTTCACTGTATATATATATATTACAGTGAGGTTCACCCTGCACAATGCCAGGGAAGCATCCACTTGGGAGCCGGTTCCACGGAGCAGTGATTCGCGAGAAGCTGCTGCTAGAGTAGAACTTGCTTTTCACCATTGGAATATGGGAGGGAGTGAGGCTGGGTCGCTAAAATATGCATAGCATGGCCGATCCAAGCCGTGAAGATTAGAATTGGTGGAACTAAGGAATGTAGTCCGCTTGAACATTCTCTCCATGGAAATAGCGATAGGGCAATGAGAATCTTGCTAAATCTTGTCTGCGAGAAAGGATTTGCGGGGGGTATAATTTACACTATTTACATTATTCGGACTATTGTCCTCATCTTTGTGGCCATATTTATTACAACGTTTCGGCCGTTGTACGCTCCGGCCTTCTTCAGGTGGTTGGAATGTCGAACAGAACCCTGTATTTCGCTCACTGGGATAGACTGTTCTAGTACCACGTGTCATGTTTAATGGATGTCAGTTATCAGTTATCTCCTGTTAATTCCCCTCTCCAAGTTCTCCACTGCCTTGACCGAGTATTGAACTCACACTCTCTGGGTACAGTCACTGGATCTGTGTCATGAGTCCTTGAGGCCGAAACGTTGTAATAAATATGGCGACAAAGATCAGGACAATAATTCGAATAATGTAAATAGTGTACATAATACCTCATCTCAGAAATATAGAATACTGAAGGGCCGAAACGTTTTAATAAATATGGCCAAAACGTTTTAATGTAAATAATGGCCTCATCTCAGAAATATAGACAGATCAAGGACAATAAATTGGCGACAATAATAATTCGAATAATGTAAATAATGTACATAATACCTCATCTCAGAAATATAGACAGATACTGAAGGGCCGAAACGTTGTAATAAATATGGCGACAAAGATCAGGACAATAATTCGAATAATGTAAATAATGTACATAATACCTCATCTCAGAAATATAGACAGATACTGAAGGGCCGAAACGTTGTAATAAATATGGCGACAAAGATCAGGACAATAATTCGAATAATGTAAATAATGTACATAATACCTCATCTCAGAAATATAGACAGATACTGAAGGGCCGAAACGAATAAATGGCGAAAAGATCAGGACAATAAAAAATAATGTACATAATACCTCATCTCAGAAATATAGACAGATACTGATTGTAATAAATATGGCGACAAAGATCAGGACAATAATTCGAATAATGTAAATAATGTACATAATACCTCATCTCAGAACAGATAGACAGATACGTTGAAGGGCGACAAAGAAACAATGTTCGAATAAAAATATGGCGACACAGATGAGGAAGGGCCGAAACGTTTTTCGAATAATAGTCCGAATAATGTAAATAGTGTACAATACCTCATCTCAGAAATATAGACAAATACTGGAAATAATTTGTCACCCGCAAGGACGCGGGGATCCTTTTGGGACCCTATCGAGCCTGGAAAGCTAGAACTGGCCAGGTCCTACGTAAATATGACATCAGTACTCCGTTTTAAGCGTGATATGGGTTTCTGGAAAGGAAAATACGTGGTGTCAGGTATTTACTAGAAACCGACCATTTTCACTGCTCGTTTAGCGTGGGATATTATGTACGAGTTCCACTTCAGGTCGGCGTTGATTCTCAGGCCAATAGTAGCCAAGTCACAGGGGTTCCTCGGGGGAACAACCATTCATCTATAAACATCTATCTATCTATCTATCTATCTATCTATCTATCTATCTATCTATCTATGAATCTCAGTCTGTTCATATCTATCTATCTAATTTAGTCTGTTCCTATCTATCTATCTATCTATCTAAACTCGTCTGTTCATGTCTATCTATTTAAATTAGTACGTTCATATCTATCTATCTATCTATCTATCTATCTATCTATCTATCTAGTTTGTTTCTATCTATCTATCTATCTATCTATCTATCTATCTAGTCTGTTCATATCTATCTATCTATTTAATTTAGTCTTTTCATTATCTATCTATCTATCTATCTCAATTAGTCTGTTCCTATCTATCTATCTATCAATCTATCTAGTTTGTTCATTATCTATCTATCTATCTATAAGGTTTAGGCTCTCTGCTTTCGGTGTTCTAACCGAAAAAGAAAGAAAGGAAGAAAGAAACAATGAAAGAATGACGGCCATTTGCCAACCCCTACTTGTCAAGCCGAGACAAGTGCATCGACGGATGGGCCTACTGCATTTTTCACCAGGGTTGCATCACAGATCAATCAATATCTATTGTTCGATCGTCGGAATTAATCCAGTTTCCCCTTATCTCTCTCTCTAACTCTCTCTCTATCTATCTATCTCACCATCTATCTCTCTCTACCTACATATCTATCTACCTACCAATCTCTCTCTGTCTCTCTTTTTCTCTGTCTCTCTCTCTCTCTCTCTCTCTCTCTCTATATATATATATATATATATATATATATATATATATCGCCTGAAGACATTTACATATGAATTCGTCTATTGTAAAGTTTGCATATGCGCCACTGTTTTGATATGAATTTCGTAAGAAACCGGTTTATATATTGTAAATATTCATAGATCATGATATTTATACCTATGTATGTATGCATCTATCTATCTGCGTAACTATATCTTAGTCTGTTCAACATATATATATATATATATATATATATATATATATATATAAAAGTGAACATTGAAGTCAACACTCGGAGGTGACAGGCTGTTTCATGCTAGATGCAATCGTCAGGCCGACTTAATATTTATATACGCTCTATCTCTGATATTGTTTACTTTATACCATAAATATAGCACCCCTTAAATATATATATATATATATATATATATATATATATATATATATATATATATATATATATATATATGAACAACCATTCATCTATAAACATCTATCTATCTATCTATCTATCTATAAATCTCAGTCTGTTCATACCTATCTATCTAATTTAGTCTGTTCATATCTATCTATCTATCTATCTATCTATCTATCTATCTCAGTCTGTTAATATTTATCTATCTCCGCATCGTCTTGTATATAAAGTGCTGTAATACAGCGAAACAGCACTGTCTGTGAATGATATATACATACATATATATATATATATATATATAGAGAGAGAGAGAGAGAGAGAGAGAGAGAGAGAGAGATAGATAGTATTAATTACCAATTCATTTTAATCATTAATTATTGTTTAATACTAAATATTATTTAAACAACAATTAATCAAATATTCTTTTCTCGATACTGAAGATCAAAAGTTTTGATCGTTATTAACTACTTTAAAAACAAAAATGAACGACTTAAATAGATTGGCCAACTCGTAAAAAAAATTGGCGATAATAATTTTTTAAAATTAGCATTCATCAGGTTTTTATTATGCCGAGACATTTGTGAGAATCGAAAAATATTGATCTGCTATCATTTTATAAATTGGGGGTCCTGTTTATAATATCGATACAGTGTCAAATCGATCACTGACTTTTATAGAGTTATTGACCTAATCTGTTTTGCGTACAAAAACAGACATTTTTTTTTAGTGGGTGCCACAAAATTATTTCTTTTAAGCAGATTTCTACATTTTAGGTAAAGAACAAAAATATACATAAATTAATAAAATTTTAATGTTTGTTTTTTTCTGTTCATTTAAGATAAATAATAATGAACCTGAAATGTTTGTCAATATACTCCCGAAAAAATTCCATACTAATTAAAAAAAATGTCCCCAACAGTTTTAATAAAAGAAAAATTAAATTAAAAAAAAAACAAAAAAATAAACCCTTCACCGCCAATTGTTTTGGGAAAAAACGTTTCATTTTCAGACGGATTTTATTTATTTATTTGGGAAGATTAAGAAACTGAGGTACCTTGATGTACCCGAACGGTGGCTACCAAACGTATGAGTTGACAATTTGATTGACAAGTTGACAGTCAAATTCAGAAGGGCATAAAAAGAATTAAGATCGACGTATAAACACGTCTGTAGCTGGTTTTGAACTTGAATGTTTGGGTCGCCTAAAAAGACACTTTCGGCAAAAACGTATATACACGTCTACGCCCGCGGAAGGGATAAAAATTAAATATATGGAGACATTATTAATGTTAGTTCAGTTTCAAACTTGACATTTGTAAATGGCAGCTAAGTGACTTCGCCTAAGGCCAATAACGCTGTAAAAGATTTGACACTATATCAAAATTATGAACAGAACCCCTTTTCTAAATCGATAACAAATCGATTTTTACAAGTGTCATGGTCTAAAGATAGTCTGAACAATTCTAATCTACGAAAATTGCTAAAAGCAAAAAAGTTTCCCTATTTTTTTTCGAATGGACCACTTTATTTAAATAGTACCTGTTCTTTTTTCTCATTCATATTTGCTATGTTCAACCTTTCTTCATGATTTTTCTCATCTAATTTAATTAATTCGTTTTAATGAGTTTTCAAGCACAAAGGGGGTGGAATTTTTTTGGCCTTGTGCCTGACAATTCTGCACGTAATAAATAGCTATAATTATTGCAATGGTACCTATAAACTGGGGTGCAATCATACAACAAAGATTTTTGACACATTGTGAAGGTAAACAATCAAAATTATTTATTTTTTTCAATCATTTCCCCCCAAGCAAGGTAATAAAGCCACTAAGACGCAAGGGGGGGTTACTGAGTGTTAGAGAATATGATAAAAATATACTACTAAGGAGAGAGGACAATAAAAGAACGAGAATTAAGAAGACAGAAGATAACGATTGACATTGCATTTAAATTTTTCAAGATCAAAGACAATAAAGCCACTAAGACGCAAGGGGATTACTGAGTGTTAGAGAATATGATAAATATATACTACTAAGGAGAGAGGACAATGAAAAAATAAGAATGAAGAAAAAAGAAGATAACGATTGACATTGCATTTAAATTTTGAAGATCAAAGTTGACAGGAATGCAAGAAGCCGTAAAAAAAAAGAAGTGCGAAAGAAATTCTCTTGCTGGAAATGAGATGTAGGGGTCAAATGACCACGTTAGACCCCCAACGCGTTGTTTTCATGACCTGGCAAAATTCTTAATTGCTTTTATTCACCCATCTTCGTGATTTCTCTCATCTACTGTCATTTGTTTTAATGCTACACGCTTTCCAAATGGTATTTTCATGCACAAAATGGCGATCTGAAACGGTTGCAGTGAGTAAAAATCGCACCATTTTATAAACAATCCTCTTCCTTCTAAATTGATAAAAAAAATTATTATTTTTTGATCCTGACAATGTTTTGGTCAAAGAACGGTTTAAAGAAAGCTAAACGACCGAACGTGTGAGCGATGATGACAGATGACCAGAAGCTGGTGGAGGCTTATACTCAATATCAGGAAAAGGCAGCTGAGGTTTCTGGGATACATAATTAGGAAGGAAGGCATGGAGAATTTGATACTGACAGGTCGAATAGAGGGAAAGAGAAACAAGGGAAAACAACGTGTGGCATATCTGGCGGGCTTAAGCAAGTGGATGACAGAACGTGGTCTGGGGAAGGAAGCAGAGAGAAGGAGCTGCAATGGATAGAAGGAGGTGGAGAGCCATGATCGCCTACGTCCTGAAAGGAGATGGCACATAAAAAGAAAAGAATGCAGAAAAATTGTTTATCCCCCATATTTTCTGTAATGAGATTGGCAAAAAGAATTTTACCTATTTGCATACTTTTTTAAAATCAGTATCACCCATTAAAACAAAAGGGGGGTTACAGGGTGTGGAAGAATTAAGAACAGAAACAATAATGATGTACAGAAAGAGAAGAGAGTAATCAGGAAGACAGTAGATAGCAATTGACATTACTATGGTTATAGGAAAAATAAAGTACAGAGTAAAGAGTCTGACGTGAGTGTAATAGAATCCTCCATATTTGCCAGTCACCCCTGCGAAAAAATGCACTCTTCCTCCAAATCAACTTTGACCAGTTATCACTTCACTTTTCCAAACTTGACTTCCCATTGGTTAAAAGGACACAAATATGTAGCAAGTTGAGACAAATCCTTTTTCCCGCTTATCTGGAGCCGGTTTGAAATCCAAAAATTCAATAAATAGGATCGCTTGACTTGATTCGAGCAATCAGGAACTGAGTCTTTGAGAGATGCCAACAAACTCCACACGCGCCAGCACACTGACTCAACAACCACCATTCTCTCAACACAACTCACACAGCCTTGCTGCGCGAATTAACTTCACTTACAATTCACTAGAAAAAGTGGCATTATCACTTCAAAGTAGTAATTGTATATTTAATCAATCTATATCATATCAGTCAAAGGTACATAACTCCTTATGACTTTAAACAATATTTACATTTGTCACACACATACACACTGTTTGAACTCACACAAGTGACATTTCATCTTGCAGAATTCAAACTGTTTTAATTTCATAGACAAACCTTAACTACAAGCTTTCATACACCAAATCTCTGCATGGTCACTCCTTACAATTTTATCTCACTTGCCACATTTAACAAGCAATCATAAATTCACTTTGTGTATGTCAAATGTATATAAATTCATGTTATTTGTTGGAATCTATAACTACGTCGTTTCTCCTTGATTTCTTCCAATTGAATTGCCTTCAAAGGTTTATTTATTTTATTTGTTGTGGATGAATGTTTATCGAACACACACATTTTTAAGCCTTCACACAATTTCACCTTCTGACAAATCCAAAATTAGCACAAATTCCGCAACAAGTGAGCTGACTATTTAGCGTTTGAGGATTTACAAAAAGATACTCACAGAAAAACCCATTGTAAAAATCTTTGATCCTGTTAACAATAGATGCGGATGAACGAGGTGTATCGGCAATTTTATCGCAAGAAGACAATCCAATAATGTTCCTTTCAAGAAGTTTGACGGCAGCAGAAATAAATTTTTCAGATATTGAAAATGAGGCATTGGTCATTGTCTGGAGTACAGACGAAGCTCGACAATTCATATTAGGTAAGAAGTTCCTAAGTTGGACCATAAACATCAAGAGTTTATTTCTAACCCTAGAATGTAGCTACCAAAAGTTACTTCTTCCAAGATTTTAAGCTGGGCTATAAAATTAATGGCTCATGATTTTGACATTAAGTAAGTAAGAAAAAATACAATATCCATATCGATGCGCTGTCAAGGTAAAAATTTAATAAGGATTAATAGAAAAAATGGAAATTCCGGATGAAGAAATATTACATTTGGTTGGAACTGACATATTATCTCTACAACGATTGGTTTCGGAAACTCTACCTGATCTGATATTAAGCGAGGCTGATGAAAGAATGAGAAGAAACAGGTGGAATAATTGTTTTAAAGCAGAAAGGTCTTATAAAGAAATAAAGTATAACTTAACTAAGGAAAATGGTGTTATATTCAATGGTGATGTTATAGTACCACCAGAAACAGTAAGAAGAGATAGTTTTAAAAGTATGCATTATGAGATAACGGTTAAGCAGGGGAGATAGAAATTGTAGGCATGGTGGCCGGGATATTATCACGATATAGTTTTCTATATCGTACACTAGCAGCATGGCCCGGCGTTGCCCGTGCTTGATTCAAAAATCGTACGACTCATATAGCAAAAATATTTTTGCCCTTCTTTGCCTTTAAAGGAGTGACCTTTGCCGTGCTGATGTTGCTACATGCCTTACTTCTTGCCTATCTGCGAATTTTTCTAAGCTCTATACTAAACATTAAATCTGTTACGAAAAAAAGAACTAAACAAAATGAACACAAAAGATCAGCTTTAAAAAAGGACTCGTAACTGGAAAAACCGAATGAAAAAGAATGTTAACAACAAATACTTTTCACACCCAACCCAGTTCTGCGGAATCAGAATCAACGTTGAGTTTAAGCAAGCGAATGAGCCAATTGAGTAAAGTGCCATGCAGATTTAAATTTTTCCCACTTGTGACAAATGCAGCTATCGATTTTTTTTTTTTTGCATGCTAGTTAACATTCGTGTCAGTCAGCCGTTCGCTCTCACGCTGGTAAATAAAATTTTCCTGCCTATTTGTAGCAGC